ATGTTTTTTTCATTTACTCTTAAGTCTTAACTGAAACAGTTTGGTTGTAGCAACCAATTATTTACAGTCAGACAAAGAGCATTATTTAGCTTTCAGAAAGTTTTATTATTAATTTGCTCACAAAATTCAAAATAATAAATAGTGCTGTTCAAGATTAACTAATCATTTTGGTGTAACATCTCATTGGATATATTCCCGAAACCATTTTAAGAATGATTACTGGGATTCAAGCATTAACAATTGGGGACTAAAATGTGATTAGGCCTAATGTTTAGAACGTCTAGTCGTAATCTGTGGGTCACCAAACATGCTCGCTCTTTCAACGGTGAAGGCGTTTTAATGTTACGGTCAATCGCACTAATCAAAAGGGTTGGGGTGGGTGGTGTTGTTTAGCTGTCTTCCTTCTAGTTTATTACCTCTAAATTATGGAAGGATAGACCAGGTTGCTTTCAAGTATTTTTCCGCGACATTCAACAAACAAACATACCTGTATTTACACACATATAAATTTATATCTATATATACACACTGACGGACCATTATTATTAGGACCCTTTTACACATCTATAGAACATTCCTTTCATTTGTTGCATATCAGAATGATATGATTACATCTCTGTATTTATAAATCATTTCACACATTGGATGATCAGCTTATTTTGCATATGGACAATGAAAGGGGCGTGACAGTAGGTACTTGCCTCGTGTGAACGTCTTTATCAAAAATGATTTCTTTTAGTAAGCTTTCAAAGCGATGTGTTATCAACAGTGGAGATGAAAAGAGAGAACGAGCAGACACGTGATGCGTGACAGACGTCATATTGTCGAAGTTGACCGATCCTTCAAGACTGGTCAGAATTCAACTGTTTCTAAATCTACCATACGTGTGAAGGACATTATAAAAACTGCCATGTGGTAATCGACAAATGGTCCAAACGAAGCTCATCCACATGAACATGGGCAAGTGTAGCTTCAGCGACGATTCAGTTACAAACTGTGAACATCGGATGAATGGAGGAGAGCATATGATGGAGTCTGATCATTTGTTTTTGCTACAGATATGCAGGTAACCATATGACGAATGTTATAGGGAGTGTAGTAGTATGGGTAATGTTCGTTTTTGCAGCCGTTGGGTCCTTTGACTCTTTTGTAATGACGAATAGCATCCAGATTGTACCTGAGCTTTATTGTCAATGATATGCATCTCACGATGCTACATTTCCATCCTGATTGACAAAGATTCTTCCAAGACCAAAATGTAGCAGTTTATTACACTCGTATAAAACAATTGTTTTTCAAAGACCGTGACAACACGGGAACATCGTTTCGAGTAAACATCTTTTATATGAACCAGATGTTCAACAAAATGCCTTGTCTCATTATGACCTACACCTACTCCAGTCTAGTCGCACAGCGAAATATAGTCCAATTTGTTACTGTATAGATATATCGATCAAGTAAAAAATCAAATATAAGATCATTTATGTATGAAATGCTTTTATACTTCTTTAAAATATTTTATTATATTAGTAGTACTTTGGAGGTACTGAAGAACATAAGATCTTATATGTATAGATTTTATATGTATACATTTGCTTTATAAACCTTTTTTTGTCAAGTATAAATAGTGTAGGATAAAATATAGGGATTTACACATTAGAATTTCAAACGTTATTTCTCAAAAAAAGTCGTTTTGTATATATGACCTTAATCCCAACTAGTTTGGGGTCGGTCGGTATATTTGTAAGCCAAGAATTTTTACACACAGGCAGCTGTAGCAAATTTATTTGTAAACTAATATTTTTTCGGGTAACAAATATATCTTTCATGATATTTAAATAAGTTCAAATATTTTCACGATAAGAATATATAATTCTTAAACAATGTTCTTAGTGTTCTGCTGAACATTAACTATTTTCTTTCTTTTTCTTAGAAATTTCAGTGAAGCTTAGATTACTAAAAATGGTAATATGACAATGAACTTATGAAGTAATTTTCACGATTTATTTACCGTCTTTCTTTCTGTGATGTAAGTTTATTCTCTGGAGTGAGATTGTTTTAAATATCTATTCACCAGTTTTGCTAGTTGAAGTGTTTCAAGGGAAGTGTTTTATTTTTAATGTATTACCTAAAGAGTTTGAACAGCAGCACTTACTATTAATATTTGCACAAGCGTTCACTGTATATGTTAAACAGCTATACCGTGGAAATATTTTCTGGAATATTTCCAGGAGAAAACTTGTTTCGATTGTGACAAAAACAGAAAAGTAGGATATTTTCATTTCTTTTTCTTGTGTGTGTGTGTGTGTGTGTGTGGTTATTTCATCATTATAAAGAGGATGATTACATTTTGAATACTATCCAGACTTACTATCAGAAAGAAAGTTGTAAAGGTTTAATTTTCTGATTTATTATAATAATAAATGTTATAATTATTTAGGTCAGTCTTCTACCAAACATGATAAATAGGAATTATATATTAAGTTTACAACCATTTACCTTTCTCTCTAAAATAAGAAGAGATTTGCTTGCATTACACACAAATAAACTCAAAAGGTAAGTAGTTACACCTGAATGTTATAAAGAAAAATAGTTTAATTTCTCATTATCTCAAATGCGTATCCGTTCAGATGTATTTTGAACCTGCGTTCTGCCTTGGAAAAACAGCGTCTCTACTTTGTTTTCAAGTTTGATCATTTTTTGTTTGTTTGTTTGTTTATCTTATAGCAAAGCCACATTGGGCTATCTGCTCTGCCCACCGCGGGGAACCGAACCCCTGATTTTAACGCTGTAATTCCGTAGAAATACCGCTCTCCCACCGGGAGATTTGATCATTTGTTGATCATGTGTCTACTATTTTACAAGTACAATGTAATATCATTACTATTTTATAAGTACAATATTTGTAATGTGTCTACTATTTTACGAGTACAATGTTTGTGATATGACTATTATTTTACAAGTACAATGTTTGTAATATGACTATTATTTTACAAGTACAATGTTTGTAATATGTCTACTATTTTACGAGTACAATGTTTGTGATATGACTATTATTTTACAAGTACAATATTTGTAATATGACTATTATTTTACTAGTACAACGTTTGTGATATGAATATTATTTTACGAGTACAATGTTTGTGATATGACTATTATATTACAAGTACAATGTTTGTAATATGACTATTATTTTACAAGTACAATGTTTGTAATGTGTCTACTATTTTACGAGTACAATGTTTGTAATATGACTATTATTTTACGAGTACAATGTTTTATGATATGATTATTATTTTACAAGTACAATGTTTGTAATATGACTATTATTTTACGAGTACAATGTTTGCAATATGGACTGATTGTGTTCTTCACTATGTAACTAGGGTGATTATAAATGACTAAACGGTAAGAAACAGGAATCATTTAAAGTCAAAACACCTCGCAGTTGACTGCGCAGCTAGTTGGGAACTTCTGTCGAGATCATTAGAATAGACATCTAGGCCTCTTAAAACCAGTGATCTTCACAGATGAGTAAAGTTTTCAAATCTTGAAGCCGTAACTGAACGATGTTATGCTAAGCACTGCATCTGTGAATATAACTGTTTTGATGGAGGTTCAGTTATGATATGGGAAGTCATCAATATGAATGTACGTATGAATCTTATTTTTCTTTTGAGTGGTGTATTATCTGTTTGGTGATTTGCCTGTTATTCTACCCATTATAATGACTTTTCGAAGACGCAATAGGATCAGACTTTGTCCTGATGCACGATAACGCCTGTTGTAATACTGAGAGAATTAACATGGACCACCTTAAGAAAGAAACTACCAAGGTCATGGTTTAAGTCCTGATTTAAAATATAAAAGAACATCTTGGAACCTTAATCCACCATGTAAGAGTAGTGAGCTTGAGATTACCGTGACTTACGAATAGGTCAGAAACCCCCATAACGTCGTCATTGACAGTTCAAAAGTACGTACCACAGATGAGGAGACTAGACCAATGGCAGAAAGGACGAGTAGGGGTCATACTAAATGCAACTCTTTCGACTAACTTGATTCAGCCAACAGAGATGCAATTACGATATCTTCAGAGCATCACCGAAAACAGGTATTATATTAGTTCTAATGAAGTTTTCCCAAATTCAGTATGGTCAATTTTTTTTTTGTAGTATATCTTCCCTGTCCCGTCAAAATGAGGAAAATAATGATGGAGTCATAGTCATCCCCCTACTCCACCATAAATAGTTTAGTATGAGATTTATTTCAACAGAATAATTTAGTATTTTATTCAAGTAAAGTACAGCCAAAATTAATTCAACAAAGTCATTACTTCTAAATGTATACGCAGAACTGATATAATACACAGTGCCTTGAATAATTGTAAGTTGTAATAAGGATAAGTGCAAGTTGAGTGAGATTTGAACCCAAAATTAAATTCCGTGGAGATACTTTATCTAACTAAGCCTAATTTTAGTTCTTTCTTATTCAGAAAGCTTATCGTACACAATATATTTCTTAAAGTGTTTTAAGAAAAACGTTGATTGTATATATATTATACAGAAAATATTTTCCACATACCCTCAGAAGTTTTTCCAACAACAAACTTGTTTTGATCGTGATGAAGACACACATTAACATAATGTTAAACAAAGTTTTTGTGCTTTTAAAACCAATTAATATTTTACATTAATGTTTTTATCCGACATCAATAACAATAGATATAATTAAAAACTTAGCAAATCTTAGCTTATGGATATTTTCCCTTAAAGTAAATAAAATGCTTGAAAAACTTGATTAACAACAACAACAACACGTGCTCCATTCCCGCTCGCTCTCTGACTCACCGAATTGGGGTGCGGCAGTTGGCGTTTGTATGTACATAATAGTGGAATACAATGTGAAAGTAGTCTTCGACCACTTCCAACTCCACTGCACTGCATCGCGTGGCACCAACACACCGACACAGAATTTGCAGTCTGTGAATCTGGCATTTATTACATTTAACTTTTGCCACAACAGCGATTCTGCTGTTTCACTTATCTACAAATGTTGCCCTATGGTTTTTTTTATGGTCTTGAAAATTGATAGAACATGAGTTAAAAAAGATCTCCCAGTAAGAAGCTTTATTTCGACAGACTGCTCTCAAACCGTGTATATGTATTTTCACAACACGGATTATACGCGTGTATATATTACCCTGCTTGTGTTTATAGATTGGATGTGGTTCAATACTTCTTTTAACATCACTTAAGGATAATTTTGTGCGTCGTGTAACCTGATATGGTATAAAGAAATACATTAATGTTCCTACTGATCGTTTTCACGCTTTTGAAATATGGGAAAGGTCGTTAACTCAGGAACACGGATTCATAAGCCGAAAACTGTAAGTTAGAATAGGATCTACGAGTAATACAGAAATTCGTATTGAACGATGAATTATGATCTTCAAGTACTTTAAGTAAGGATTTTCTGATGTTTTTTTTTTTTTTTGGTTAACGAGACTTTCAATTTATTCTCTGAGTTTTCAGAGGGTTAATATGACATAGGTAAGTAAATATATATTATGTATGCATATTTTGTAATAGTAGAGATCGATATTTTCGATAGACTCATTAAGGCATGATTTATGGTTTAATAACACAAATCTAAAAAAAAACAGAGATCATTTGAAAAATTGCAAAATTATTTAGTTTGGTCAGAAATTACGAAGCTTTTACAATAATTGTTTTAAAGAAAAATTTTTTTGCAGACATTCAATTATTTTCCAAGAGTTGTATAAATACAAACTGCAATAAAAAAGACCTTTAAAACTAGGACATATCCATAAAGTCGGGTTACTATTTTTTGTAGCGGATAATTTAGTCGTTGTGGTTCGATGTTTAGTGTAGTGCTGAATGACTTGTGTATTCTTCAGCTGTACTTTTTTCTTCTCCATTATAAAAGAATACTGCTTTTTAATGTACGTTGACCCGTTTTCCAGTCTCAGCGAATAGAAGTCCGTATATTTTAAGAACTGTTTTTACAGAAAGCTTTCTTTACATACGAGCCTAAAACGAGATCAAGGTGCTATAATTGTAAGGTTTGGAAACTCACGGCTATATGTATAAATGTACGTGATTAAAATGTATGTATATAACATTAGATTTTCTACCTTAGTTTTTGTCACACAAATGCTGTCCTATAATAGCTTTGTTAAACTTTCTCTCTAAGGGAATAGCAAAACTTCAAATCCACAATAATACCGAAGCAAAGTTTTCAAGGTTCTTTCAGTGTTTTGACTTCATTGTTTCGTATATCAGGAAGGATTGTGATTACCATGGTTAGTGCACAACTACGACAGATTTCCATGTACGTCAACTGTACTTAGAAACCGACGGTCAAATATGACTTCAAGAAAATGCTGTACCGATGACTTTTCAACGTTACCATGGAGACTTAGATGTATGTGTATATTTTCTATTCTACTTGGCACTTTGTTTATCGTTTTATTACCAATATACTTTTTTGTCGGTTTTGGTTTAAATGTTAAAGGATTTTCCCCGCTACTTGTTACACATGATAAAAATAAGCACGATTGGAAACCGGAATGTTTAAAATCTGCGAACTTGATGTCCTTAAGCCTTGTAGACTGTTTTCCGGAGACTACGTTCGTAACTGAAGAGCAATGCGTAAATCGAGGATGTTGTTGGACAGCTAACATGAAAACTCGTGAATCAGCTTTCAGAAGCCTGTGTGAAAAACAACAGTCAAGTTTAGTGCCAAAGTGTTTTTATCCCAGTAACTACGGCTATCATGTGTCTGGAAAAGTTACCTCATTTTACGAAGGATTCGAAATTCCCCTCTCCAGAATACCATCTCCATCTAGATACGGGGATGACATAAGAAATCTACGTGTACGTGTAGAACGACAAACATTCTACAGACTACGAATAAAAGTAGGTTTCGATTTTATTATTTAGAGAAACACACATTTTATAAAATTTAAAAGTTAATACTTTTTTATCACAAAACTACCAAGAATTTTTAATAGCATGATATTTCTAGATTTCATTAACTATTTTGGCCAAGCACTCTTCCACTCAGTTCTCTGTGGTGAAAAAGTTTCATTAATTAAACAAACGTTAGTTAATATTATATAAGCTGTATTACTAGAAAAAAACGTTGTTTTTTACTTAGTCCAAAGCTACACACTGGATTATCTACACTCTGTCAACCACAGGGAATCGAATCCCATATTTTAGTATTATCAGTTCGTAAGCTCACCTCTGCCTCACCGCGGAACTCGTCAAAAAAAGAAAAAGAGAGAAAACTATTAACCCAACCACATAAAATCTTGAGTTATGAGTACAATATTCTTTATAGATTATTAATTATAATGTTTTACTTCGGTCAAATCGTTGAGTACGAAATAAGCATACGGAGACAAGGTCAAAATAAAGCTATAGCTGTTTCTAAAATAAACTCATCTGCCGCAGATTTTAACTTTTTGAATAGTACCCAAAGGGAAAGTAAAGTAACATGTTAAACGAACACAAATATTCAGAAAAGTCACTAACAGGAGTGTTTTTAATTAGTTTTCAAGTCAACTAAATATTACAAAATATTAGAAAAAAAAGACTGTGACATGAAATGGTTAAAAATCTTCAACTATTAAGTTATACGTGCTGAAACGTAAAACTTACGGTATTAACTTATGGTACAACATGTGGAAAAAAACTACCAACACTAACTATCATGGAGCCTATTTTCAAACGTCACAACTTTCCTTTTACTTATGACATAAAAGTTAGTCATTCTATTATGTAGTCTTGGTTAACCAATAAACCTTCTGGATTTTCTTAGCATTAGTAGCATAACGTGCTATTTAGAAAAGGAAACACACGCTTATGATTTTTGAAAGTTCAATAATTTGTAGGGGGGCGGGGTAAATCAAACAGAAAACTCCTACAATATTTAAAACGAGAAACAAATTTTTGTGTTAAATGTTTTTTAGTGTCAAACTTTTATTTATTCATTGTTTTAGGATAAAGTAAAGAAATTTGTGTCTATAATATCTACCTGTGTCTTTAGAAGTGTATTAGTATGTTGGTTATAACTGAGTCAGATCTCTCTTATCTATTATTACTAACTTGCATATAATTAGCATAATAAAGATCATTAAGTATAATTAAGCTGCACTAATTATCCAACTTGATTTACATACAGAGTTGTATTGTGAACTCTCGAATAAATTAATATATTTCTAGAATATAAAATATAGTTCCTTCTATAAATTAGTTATTCTATATATAATTATTAATATAAGTACATATGTTAACATTGGCTAGACGGAAACAACATACGCAACTCTATCGTTTCAGTAGATTCTTGAATTCCTTACTATAAACAGACAAGCTATACAATGAACAAGCCTCATTATCAGGTGTCTTAATTTTGTGTATATAAACGCGAGTTATCTCCGCTATACTTCAGCTCCAGTCGTTTTGTCTTAAAACAAAAGTATAAAAAACTTCGAACGAGAGACAATAGTAATGGTTCTCCTGGCAGGAGCATCTGTAAGCAACATCCTCAGGTTGTCAAAATTTCTGATGCGATCACAGCTGTCGAGAGTTAATGTTAGATGCCAGTAACGTATATGAGAAAAAAATCTACTTTATCATAGCGGATATACACAATCAATTCATACTTGGAGAAACACAAGTTTGTGTATGCAATGGTGCACTGATCACAAAATTGGAACTCAGGAACATTATTGAAATATGATTTGAACATATAAATCAATAGCCACCCTTTTCCCATAAAATAGATCTGTAGAGAAGCCTCAGTGAAGCCTATTGGTTCCAAGCGAAGGGTTGAGCCCTGGCTATTGGTGTGAACTTGGTATAGTCACGACAAGAGCATCTTACGAGATCGGGATGACCTTCTGATGCAGCTTTTTTTATTTCAATAGTGATTGTGTCGTTCAAAATAATGCATTTTTTACAGCTATTGCAAACTGGTTTGCTAAGCATGAATAAACCTTAAGTCATCTATCCTGGCCTGTTCTATCGTGAGATTTTAACCTTGCGAAACTCACGTGTTGTGTTCATTTTTTGCTTCGTCAGTACTGAAGGAGTTTGATGCGTTTGCTAAGAAGAAATGGTGTAATATTGCTATTAAACATTTCAACATCTTGGTAGTCCAGTGTCAAATCAAACCATTTCAATGTTTGTATATCCGTACATACAAACGTATATACGGATGTGGGTGTTGACGTAAAATTGTAACAATTTGGTATTGCATTAACCGTTCCAATATGGCGATCATTACTAGAATGGAGATACTGTAATCATTATACAAAAGTATTTAGATAGTACCAGTAATCACATATCGGTATCATTAGTTTACATAAAAAAGTGTACAAAAGTGTTTAGATAGTACCAGTAATCACATATCGGTATCATTAGTTTACATAAAAGAAGTGTACAAAAGTGATAGTACTAGTAATCACATATCGGAATCATTACCTTACATAACAAAGTGTACAAAAGTGTTTAGATAGTACCAGTAATCACATATCGGTATCATTAGTTTGCATAAAAAAGTGTACAAACGTGTTTAGATAGTACCAGTAATCACATATTGGAATCATCACTTTTGTACATTTTTTATGTGAACTAATTAAAGTAATGATACCGATATGTGATTACTGGTACTCATATCGGTATCATTCGTTTACATAAAAAAAGTGTACAAAAGTGTTTAGATAGTACTAGTAATCACATATCGGAATCATTAGTTCACATAAAAAAGTGTACAAAAGTGATAGTACCAGTAATTACATATCGGCATCATTACTTTACGTAAAAAAAGTGTACAAAAGTGTTTAGATAGTACTAGTAATAACATATCGGTATCATTAGTTCACATAAAAAAATGTACAAAAGTGATAGTACCAGTAATCACATATCGGTATCATTACTTTGCGTAAAACAAGAGTACAAAAGTGTTTAGATAGTACCAGTAATCACATATCGGTATCATTAGTTTACATAAAAAGCACCAACTCCATTTTGTGCATAAGAATAGTGTAAACTTGATGTAATTCGATCATGTGTTATCCAGAAATACATTATAACACCAAATTATGGAAACCAAGCAGGTGCACTCCTCGCACCAGGAACGTCTTCAATTCTATTCCAAAGGGACATCATAATGATGGGTTACTTAGAAAACTCTAGTGACTCATCCTTAAGTTTCCTTTTCTCCAATAGATTGCCCTGACAGGCTTTCCACACAAATACACGCGCGCGCATACACATACACACTAAGGTACCTCGCATACAGTCGATAGTGTTCTGGTAGTGAGAGTCTGAGTATATGATTCTACTCTGCTAGTGGTGATTTACGTGTTTCTCACCACAATTTCTCATCGATCAGAAAGTATGAAGCTTTTGCCACACAGCATCAGGGGGGCATAACATTATGTACAACTGTAGTCAGATAAGATAAAACCCCTAAAGCAAAAGTAATTACCGAGTAAAATCAATAAATCTTAACACACTGTATTTTATTTGATGAACTGATTTAGTATTTGTGTTATTTCCTTATAAATAATCAAAACTCTCATCCATAGAGCATTGAAATAAGTTAGCTCATCAGAATTCTTTCAAAAAGATCTTATCAGCATCAGTTGATTCTTACCAAAAACTTCAGTATTAATGTAATGCCATTAATTCTATGAATTAAGATAACATTACATTCAAAAGGGGCAAAATAAGGTTATGTCTCAAACTGTAAGTTTCTAATTACTGCATATTTACTAGTATTTACAACACTAGCCCAACTTGAAGCTTTTAATTAAAGTAAAAGAAAAATTAATGCCATTATTTGATGAAAATTTGTCTATGACCACTTTTTTTTTATTGGGAATGTTTGTACTTTAAATATACACAATATATATATATTTAAAAAGACTATAAATATTGTATTGCATCCTTAGTTGTATAGTTAATTCAGGCCACAGAAGAATTCATAAAAATCCATGCCCCCCCACCCTAAACAAAACATTTTATCCATGCCCCCCCACCCTAAACAAAACATTTTAGCCATGGTCATACTGTAATACAGATAGCTTTGTTTGGTTCATAAAGTTAAATATTTCATTCTCAAAATCGAAGATTTTTCAGTTAAAGTCCTACCATTTCAGTTATATACTGCCTTTAAACCAGAATATTTATAATGCAAAAATATCTAGTTTTATTTTTAAAAGATTCTAATTAAGCCCAATTCTAGCAACCGAACTTACAAAATCTGCAAATTTATCGTGATTTTAGTATTTTACACATAAGAGACTGTTTACGCCACCACTTGGGTTTGTAAATTTCGATTTTTACAGAAAAAGGGTCGGATAGTTTAAAGCTGACTTTTATAATATATATATATATAACTTATGTTTCATAGGAAAGTCTTGTATATTTATAGTTAAAATCCTTTATATAAATATATATATCATCCTCCAATAATAACGTTTACATATCTAAAGATCAAAAGGGGTGAGATCCTTATATATTCTCAGCTATAACACTGGGTGTAAAAGTCGTTTTATGACATTTAAACTTGAAAACAAATGGCGCAGCCTAAGAGTTTGTAACAAATAATATGAGTTTGATCATATTTTAGATAACAAAAACAATATTTCCGCTAGATGGTGTCACAAAATAGTTTAATGTTTGATTATTTTCAGCAGAAAGCTTCACGACGGTCTATATGCGTTCTGTCCATCGTGGAGAGTCGAGCCAAGGTTATAAGTTTGTAAATTTACCTGGGTATGTCGTGCGTTAGTGATAGATAACAAGTAAAAAAAACTGTAATTGTCACGTAGGGCAATAAGCCAATGATATAATAATTGGAATTTTTTTAGGACTCAACGTAAGGATGAAATATTATTTTAAAACATCTACTTTTATAACATAATTAATTAAAAAACAGTTCAAAATAACTAATAGATAAACACACCTTTTTGATTTTCTGCAGAACTTTTTAATGTTAATCCTTGGACGACACTTCGAATTTTAGTGGAAAAGCTATAAAGACGATAGAGTTGAATGCAGATACCTCGCTGAAACCAAAACTTCCTTCTTTTAAATAGACAATTTAAAATGTCTCACACGTATTCTGTAAATTGACATTTTTTACTAAATGAAAATTACAGAATAGTTATTTCGCTTGTTTGTAATATTTTTTATATTTAATTCAGTTTGATTTTATTGTAGTTCTATGATCCAGCCGATCAACGTTACGAAGTTCCAGATCCACAAATACCAGCTAATCCAGCTTTCGAGTTTTACAATACAAATCGTCGTCAAGCGCCATTGTATGAAGTCACGTATAACATCACCGAAGTGCCATTCGGAATTAAAATTCGAAGATCAAATACAGGGTCTATCATGTAAATGTTCTAGAAATTTGTTTTATTATATTAATTGTTTTAAGTAAACAAATAAGTACACCCCCTTTTTATGTTCCATATTGGATGTGTGTGTTGTGTTTGTGCGTTAAAATTATGTAAGATGATTGAATAGGTTGCTTAGTACTATGTTATATTTACATCTCCTGATCTGAAAAGTTTCTAATTCTATGAATGGATTATTTACTTTTTACTTATATTAGGGTGTCAACAGAAACAGCATTGAACGTTTCAGTTTATTTGGTAACATAAAACTTTATAGTACGATCAAACTGCCCAACATTCAAATAAAAAAGTTTTAGTTAATGGAGCTAATAAGCAATTATTTCTCTAATTTCAGCAAATCGTAGTCCATAGGAAAATATGTAATTCGGTCAAAATTATATTTTACTTTTAAATCAATTAGTTAAGTTTTTATTAACTTTAAAATAAGGAGTCGATAATATAGAAACTAATGGATGTTTTGTTCATCACGATATCCGGCAAACGATAAAATACACTAAAACTGCCTTTAGTGCTTTCGAACAATATAACTTTTATACTCACCGGATCACTTTTACATTTGAAAATGTGTCCTCCCCCTTTTGGTGAAAGTCCACTGCCTTTTGCAAAGTAACTTAGATATACAGATGACCTGTTTTCAGTGATATACTATTAGTATACACTGGAAAAATGTCCTAAAGTTATGTTTATCCTAGATTCAGTTGCAAAAGCAGGGATGTAAGGTGTGATGTTTGCAGGGGCGTCGAGAGACAGCCCAGGTCCCGGGGTCAGTAATATCATCGGGCTCCCCTTTCATTCTATTTATTAACTTTTGCTGATTTTTCATAAAAGAAACTTGGGTGACAAATTTCTTCATCAATCTATGAAAAAGCAGTAGCCATTTCAGCTCATAAAGTAGTGTTCATTTATAGTGAGCTTTGGAATATCCTACTGCCGGGCCCCGGAGCAACTGCCCCCTTGCCCCCTTCTCGTCAACACTGGATGTTTGCATGAAATGCAAAATTTGTGGATATATTTACGATAGGGGTCCTGTGAAAGTTCAAACAATCATAAAGAGAGAGGTCGTCCAAAAACGTTAAGAATAGAATCAAACGATGATAAAAAAAGTTCAAAGCAAAAGGAATAGTAAGAATAAGGTACTTTGTTCTTCTCAATGTAAGCCTTTTCATTGTCTTACATCGTTCTCTGATTGGCAGACCTTAACCAACAAAAGTCATAAGAAATAGCTAAAGAACATATATTGTTATTTCTTTTGAAAGTTCGTAGAAAGTTATAGATGCTATGAACATGTTGAAAACCATACTTACAGTGCAAATTAAGATAAAACGGAATAATCCTGAGCAAAAGTAGTCTCGTTTTAGGAATACTTTTCATCAACAACAAAACAATATTTTAGGAGTTTTATTACGTTTTCTGGGCAAGAAATCAAATCTTAATATAATGCAAAGTGTTATATGACAAACTGGTCTAGCGGATTTTCTCTTCATCAAAGTTACCGCCAGAACATGGCAACTTCTGTGCGATTGACTCAATATTCTAGGATTAATTTACACAACATATTTTATTAGTCTTATCTATCTTACGGGTGATACTGGAAGTTATATAACAAACGAATTTTTCAACCACCATTACTTATTACTTTCACGTAACTATAAATTTTAGAGTTAATTAGTTCATAAACTTCAATCGTTTAACACAAGAAATAACCTTTATTTTTGAACATAATGTAGCTTAGAGGTTTTTGTTTTTAATATTACGGACAGAATCAATTGTTAAGTTTTTATTCACAGTTTCGACACAAAAACAGCTGGGTTCACCTTTTCTAACCAGTTCCTTCAAGTCACCATAAAGTTGCCTTCTCTTCATATATACGGCCTACAAGAAGATGGAAAAATGATATACCGAATGAACCAAAAGGTTATTTCTTATAGCTATTTCACTAAGTTATGATATAAACTGGTTTATAACATACTAACATAACCAGCATATTAACTTCTCAGATGTTCTAAATTCCAATTTAAAGTAAGCGGGTTATATTTCCAAACGTTTTTATTTGTTCTAAACTTATCTTCTCAAATGCTTTTCTTTCCACTGAGCTCTTTAGAATAAGTTATCATTAAAATTTTTTGTTTTAAACTTGTAATAGGTTACGTGTTCAGATTTGTTTTCCTAACTTATCAGCAGGTTATCATTTTAGTTTTAGCTTTTTTTTTCGCTTTCAACTTGTTAGCAGGATTATCCTTTTAAATTTTCTATTTGCTTAGATTTAAGAAAAGGTTACGCCTTTTCCGTTTTTTCCTTCTTCACTTTAAAATGATCAGCAAGTTGTCTTCTCACACTTTTTTTCTTGTTTCACACTTATCAGTCTACCTTTTTAAGTGTTCATCTTTGCTATAAATGTATTTTTTGCCTCTGATCTAAACGCATCAGCAGGTTATCTTTCAAACGTTTTTCTTTACTGTAAACTTGTCAGTAGATTAGCTTTTCAAACGTTTTCTATGCTCTAGACTTCGCAAAAGGTTACATTTTCAAATGTTTTTCTTATTTATAAAATGCCCGGCATGGCCAGGTAGTTAGGGCGCTCGACTCGCAATCTGCGGGTTGCGGGTTCGAATCCCCGTCCCACCAAACATGCTCGCCATTTCCACC